ATCCTTTCATACACCTATATCTTGTAGGTTATAGCCAATGTTTTCTTCTAACTGTTTCAGAGTTTCAGGCTTCATTTTGAGGTATTTGATCCATTTAGAGTTGACTTTTGTGCAAGGTGAAAGGCAGGGGTTTAATTTCATTCTTCTACAGGTGGAGATCCAGTTTTGCCAGCACCATTTGCTGAACATGCTGTCTTTCCTCCAGTGAATGTTCTTGGCCCCTTTGTCAAATATCAGGTGGCTGAAATTGCATTTACTCATATTTGTGTCTTCAGTTTATTCCAATGATCCACAGGTCTATTTTTGTGCCAGTACCGTATTGTTTTTAATGCCTATAGCTCTGTAACATAGTTTAAAATCTTGTATAGTAATCCCCCAGCATTGCTCTTCGTGCTCAGGGTTGCTTTGGGTACTTGAGGTCTTTTGTACTTCCATATGAATCTTAGGATACTTTTTCCAATTCTACTAAGAATGTCATTGGGATTTTGATTGGCATTGTATTGAATCTATAAATGGCTTTTGGTAGGATGGTCATTTTCATAATATTAATTCTTGTAATCCATGAGCATGTGAGGTCCCTCCACCTTGTGGTGTCTTCCTCAATCTCTTTCTTTACAGATTTAAAATTTTCATTGTTGCAATCTTTAATGTCTTTGGTAAAGTTTATTCATATTTGTAACTTGCCACTTTCCTGAAAGTGTTAATCATTTATAGGAGTTTTCTGGTGGAATCTTTGGCATCTCTGTCCTTATGCTTATGCACTTGCTTAAATAATTCATTATATGTAGAACCTTTAACTTTACCCAGAGCCTTTTAACAATGCTTTTAGTGCCTGACTCCTTAGTGAATGTGCGGTGTCTTTCAGGTGGCTGTTCCAGGCACCAGCTGTTGTTGTTCAGACCCGAAAGTAACCAAGGACATGGGAATGTTCAATTCAGTGATAGCAGAGGGCCTAGCACCTCCAGGGTGAAGATCCCCAAGTGCCTTTTGGCTTTTTCTTTTTTTGGCCTTGCAAAACAAAGTATGAGAAGCAGAAGCACAGTACATGATTTCTCATGGGGTACAAACATTTTTCCCAGCTGCATTTTCCCAGCTGTTATCTAGGTGCAAAGTCCTGCTTATGTCTACTGACTATTTTCGAGGACATTCTGGGCTTTGGAATAACAAACTCAAGATGAAGGCTGTTGTGTTGGTCAGTGTGCTGACCAACAACTCCATAGAGTTCCTTGTGTGCAATAACTTCATGGCATTTCTCCAACCTGCTTGTGACCTTCCAAAGCAGCTTGTCCAGTTAAATCTATGTTTCCCAATATCTTCTCTTTATACTATTTGGTTTCCTTCAACACTGCATATATGAATTGTGGAGCAAACAAGGAAAAAAAAAGATAGTCCTGACTTAAAATCTCCATCTCTACTGACTAACTTTCATAGTACTAAGGTGTGCTATGCAAGTACCAAGGAAAATAAAATGGGTCATTACTGACCTTGCCCATGTGAGAGTCCTGTGAACTACAACATCCACTATCCTAGCAAGATATGTCTGTCAGTGAGATGGAGGCACAGATGTTATGGGAGGAAACAATCACTTTCTGATTGAATTTTAGGTCCACTTCACAAGACGGTGTCCTTACCTGACACTGAGATCAGGATTAGGAACTTTTGGCTTACCAGGTCACTGGCCACAGGAGATAGCCTACTAATAATATTTTGCTAAATAGGCATAGTATTAAACCAACACTTAGCTTTGGCTCCAACTCATAGTGGCTTCTTCAATGTCAGCTCGAGTCACATAGCTCAGAAATCCAAGCATGATGACTTTCTTTTCCTCAGAATCTTACAGGACTAGAGTGCAGGGGTCAGATCGGCTTATCCATAAGTGAAGCTCAGATTTATTTATTAGCTCCTCTTATGGAGGAATTCAATTCCTTGCATCTGTAGAACTGAGGTCTTCATGTCCTTGTTGGTTGTAAATCTATTACTATTTTTTGTATGTGTATTCATGCATGAACTTATTATTATACCTGTAGATTAATGAATTTTTCTACTCTTAACAGAGAAACTGTCTCATGCATCAGGTGGTTATTAACCCAAGTGACACACAACCATCCAATGTGTAGCGAATAAGAACCTGCATAGGGCTTATTTCTGAATGGACACTTATATCAAGTGTCCCAAGGCTTAGGGATCATTGTGAAGAGGGAACAGAAATATTTTGAGTCAGAATTGTTGCATAACCACAAGGAAATGGAGATATTCAGACAGCTGGGCAGTTATTCCTATGAACTAACAGCAGTGATGACAGCATTCCACATAAACTCAAGTCATAAAAAACATCAGCATAGAATTGGGGAAGTTGTTAAGAAACCTCAACCCTAGCTGAAAAACAATTGGCAACTGATAGGTGTGAGGAGGGGACAGTCAATCTTCTTTAAGGGTGTGACTCTGGGTAGGTTAGCCAGGCACTAGTGGATGAACCACACTGAAAGACATTTGAGAACATAAGTTTTATTCAATATAGTTTTTTAAATACATCTTCAATGTGCATATTGATTCATTATATCTATATATAGTGAACAAATATAATCTAAGAGAAAATACAAAATGGAACAGACATTAAAATTTCTTAAGATGTCTTCATTACAGTGAGATCATCTATTGGGATGGAATTTGTATACCCGTAGGAGCTAGATGTGTGTTCCCATCTTCTGACACCAACATTGGCTATTTGCAGCAGAGTTCAATGAAAGAACTTCTTTAGCCAGGAGATGAGATGCCCGTGGCTAATGTGCTTCCTGAGAAACATTGCTTTCTAATTTATTAACATATGAACAATGTATTCTTATTGAGAAATGATAAAATTTAGGTTATAGCTTACAGTGAAATATTAGTAAATACTAGTAAATTTCTCAGTTTTTTTTCAAATTCCTCACATATTTATGTGTGAGATACAAGGACAATAAATCAGTATTGCCAGGAATTCTCTGAAAGTTTTTCTTCTTAATTTTAAATACAGTTTAATAATTTTAACACTTTTTATTTAAATATCTAAAATTCTTGTTAAAAAAACAAAATGTACTAAGTTTAGTAATCCATTTTACAGTGTTGGCTTGCTTTCTTCTCACTTCAAATACCAGATACACTTAGAATAAATATTCATTTCTAACAGTTCGTTAGCATATACTTCCTATAATAATCAAGTAAAACAGTCCCAGTACTTATATAAAAAGAAAAATATACCACATGTGATTGACAGCCTCCTTGACAGTCAGCTGTGATTGTGTGGCATGAACTAAGCAGTGCTCATCTGAGAATGAGTTCATGATCCCAGGTGATTTGAGTTCATATTTGAATCCAGAGCCTCTTCAGAGACTGATCCTCAGCAAAAAACAGTGACATGGGAGACAGCTTAGCAGCTATAAAATCATAAAATATTTCACTAACGCCACAAGAAACTCTAATTTCAAAAGGTAAGATTTCGGGTTTGTGGTTAAAAGGAGAATACCTTATTCATTAAAATTGTATCTTTTTTTTAAGAAAAACATATCTGTGTGAACAATCCAGAGTTGAGAAAGAAGTCAGTAGTATTCATGCTGTCATTTAGCAAAAGATAAAAGAGAACTCTTGTAGAATCAGCTTACATTCCCATAGTTAAATTCTTCTGAATAATCAGGAAAAAACTAAGTTTTCAAATATTATTTATTAGTCCACTAACAAAACAAAAACTCAATATGGTCTTTAAAAGTATATAAATTTAGCACTCAGCCAAAATGATAATAAGTTCACCAGCTTGAAGTGCATGGATGGCTTACAGTCAGTGAATGTCTAATAGATTGTCCTGCATTGTTCACTGAATGTTGAAGCCTCACAGGGTCCAGACATTGTCCTCCTGTGGACGACAGGAGAATAGGAGCCAAAAATCTCAACAGTTGAGAGTCAACCTCCATCTACCAGGTGAAGCCCAACAAACATATTAGCCTTTTAGGTGAATATTTATTCACTAGTGTCCTCTTTAAAATCAGACTATTTCACTTCAACACGCTTCAGTTAGAAAACATATTTAGGCTAGGAAAAGATTTGGTGTAAATAAACACTAAAATAATGTTCTAAATATTATTCACACGTCTACAAGATAATACTTTGATATTTCAAAGAAATATTGATTTAATTAGAAGTATGTAAAATATTTAATATATTTAAACTAGGTAATTCTCATATTTTTCGTTATTTATATTTCTTTTCATTTCTAACAAGACAATTATTTCTTAAAAGTTGATTAATGTCCTTGCTTAACTGATAGAATGTATAATCAATTCCACAACTCAAGTAAACGTTTTATTAATTAATAATCAGGAAGCTGAAAGCCTGCCATGCTGTGTGTCTTAATTTCCATGGTACCTTAACTTCATTGTAAATGCTTCATGTATGGTATAATCACTAAGAGGAATTGCCTAATGTCAACCTGCCTGCATACATGTAGACTTACATTACATGATATTTTCAAATTAAATTTTCTCAACTCTAAATTGGAATAAATTGATTTCATGGAACTGAAAATAACACTACACACAAATTTAAATCTCCAGCCAATGATTTGGTAAGTATTCACTTACAGTTATCAAATGTTTATGTCATCACAAAACCCCATGCTTGTATATTCTGGAACTTTGTTCCATTTTCAAATACTTTGCTACTTTCATGAGTTTCACGCTTAAAATCCTTACTTTAAAGACACTAATGTATATTATACCCGATATAAATGGAAAGAAGAGACATATATTACATGACAGTAATTTCTAGTATTCCTGTTTTAAAATTTTCAGTCATACTCATTGTGTACCAATATGTGAAAACAGTCCAGAAGAAAACCTCGTTACTCCATAATTTCCATTCATGTCTATTTGTTAATGTATACTTTAAAGAATATTAAGCTACATATTTATAAATTCCTTCGTAACTTCTTTACAGCTTTTTTTGGGGAAATGACTACACGGATTTCTCCCATGGATTTCCTGGTGGGTGGGAACCACACTGCAGTGACAGAGTTCATTTTACTTGGCTTAACAGAAGACCTGGTCCTTCGAGTGATCCTTTTTATCATCATCCTGTGCATCTACCTGTTGACCATGTTTGGAAACCTCAGCACAATCCTGCTAATCAGAATCTCTCCTCAGCTACATCACCCCATGTATGTTTTTCTGAGTCACTTGGCTTCTACAGACATTGGGTACTCATCTACTGCCACACCCAATATGCTTGTCAACTTCCTGGTGGAGAGGAATACCATTTCCTACCCTGGGTGTGTCATCCAGCTAGACTCAGCTGCTTTTTTTGGGACACTTGAGTGCTTCCTTCTGGCTGTCATGGCTTATGATCGCTTTGTGGCAATCTGTAGCCCATTGCTTTATTCAACCAAAATGTCCACACAAGTCTGTGTTCAGCTGCTTATAGGATCTTACACAGGTAGTTTGTTTAATGCTTCCTCCTGTACCCTTTCCTTTTTTTCTTCTGTCTTCTGTGGACCAAACATAGTCAATCATTTTTTCTGTGACTTTACCCCTTTAGTTGAACTCTCCTGTTCTGATATGAAGGTCCCCACAGCTATTATCTCATTTTTTTCTGGGACTGCTGCTGTGATCACATTGTTAGTCATAGCCATCTCTTACACCTATATCCTCATCACAGTCTTGAATATTAGCTCCACTGAGGGTCGCCAGAAGGCCTTCTCTACCTGCTCCTCCCACCTCACTGTGGTCACCTTGTTCTATGGTACTGTCACATTCATTTATGTGATGCCCAAATCCAGCTACTCCACTGACCAGAACAAAGTGGTGTCTGTGTTCTACATGGTTGTGATCCCAATGTTGAACCCCCTCATCTACAGCCTGAGGAATAAAGAGATTAAGGGGGTTCTGATGAGACAACTTGGTAAGAAAATATTTTCTTAGATGTGTCTATTCTTTTGTAAGGTATGATATAGTAATGATATTCCTTATATATATTAATTAAAGGACAATGATTGTCTATGGTTGCAATATATGTTCTGATAAATATTCAGCCAACTGTGAATATTTTTATTAATTTTAATGCTGTATTTGCTGAGATCAAGTGGAAAATTATAGGTTCATAGCGAGTTACATTGAACATATTTCATGTATAATTACAAATGATATGTGTGTTTCAATTTAAAAATCCACAGAGTTCAGGAAAACAAAAAATGACCATGGTCTGGATAGGCTTCATGGAGAAGGAGGTAGTAATCAGAGGTACATATAGGGGAAGGAAAATAATGGAGTTTGATTGTTAAATAAGGTAGGTTATTCGAGAGCAGGTCCAAGGAGGGAGTATGGAGTGGGATAGCTAAAACTAAATTCTTCAGAAAAATTCATATAAAAACATACCACCATAGAAGCTCTTAAATTTATACATATAAATTATAAAAAGAGATGAAAGGGTATTGCTAAAACAGATGGACAGTCCCCTACTAGACACCAGAGGCATGCAAAGAAAAAGCCAAATGCCAGGAATGGACTCCCTCTTTTGAAACTCTTGACCAGGGGTCCTATGACCCCTCAAACATTACTGGACTTTGCCCATGCACTTAGCTACCACAAGTACTTCATGAGAATTCCTTACTGCTGAAGACATTGTATATGTGAACTGTGCAACAAATAAGGAGAAATTAAGCTGATACTGATTTCAAATCTCCATTTCTACTGACTAACTTTCATAGTGCTGGGAGGTTCTATGCAAGCTACCATAAGAAAAGGGTGATAAGTGACTTGCCCATGTATGAATCCTGTGAGTTACAACATCAACTGTCCCAGGAAGCTATGTCCATTGGTGCAGTGGTGGCACAGATGTTATGGGAGGGACCAACCACTTTCTGATCAGATTTGAGGTCTACTTCACAAGATGGTGTCCATATCCAATCCTGACATTAAGACTAAGAACCTGTAGCTAGACAGGTCACTGGTAACAGAAGAGAGTCTACTAATAATATTTTGCTAAATATCCATAGTATTAAACCAACTCCTAACAACTTACTGTTATGACTATAGACTAATGCATCTTTCCACTCTTACCACAGAAGCTTGTTTCATGCAATAGATGGTGATTAACCCAAGACACATACAACTGTCCAATGTGCAAAGAATAAGAAACCACATAGTGCTTGTCATTATATATA